TTCCTCGCGGCCGACAAGGTGCGATGCTCCTCCGCCTGGCGGCAAATGTGACTGATGCACAAGCCTTTGAATCGCCTGTCTTCGACTTCCGCTGCGAGGACGACCACTCAGAGGAGACCAACTTGAATAAGTTCCTGGACGATTTGAACGCCCATGAACGCTACTTTGAGATACTTTGAGATGACCACCGAGGTCAAGACCTTCTTCGCCTCCAAGCCCAACTCCATCCCTGAGGAGACCTTCATGGAAGCAGATGATCATGATGATCAAGCCCCGCTTCTGCCTGGAGAGACAGTCAAAACCATCGAGCAGCTTCAGAAGACGATGTCGTGGATTGAGGCTCAGCTCCAGGAGACCGAGAAGCATGTCCAGCGAGATCCTCCACGCTCGTGACAAAGGTCAGCATCGTCGGAGGAAGCTGATCTGGGAGGTCTATGCTGGCGAGGGCAAGATCACAAGCCTCCTGCAAGCTCATGGTGATGTGGAGGTGATGAGATTTGGCCTCCGGGACGGCTGGGACTTCAGCCGAGCCAACCACAGAAAGCAGTTGTTGCGGTTGTGCGATGACCTTGAGCCAGACGAGATCTATATGTCCCCAAAATGCACGCTCTGGTCACGTATGCAGCAGATCAACATCACCAACGAGGAGCAAGCGGCTGATCTTGCAGAACGCAGGGAGGTAGATGCCGAGACCCACCTCACCATGTGCAAAAAGCTTTACCTCGAACAAGTTCGCCGCGGCTCTCACGCTCACATCGAGCATCCACGCCTCAGCCTGGCCTGGGAGATGAGGCAGTTGAGAAATCTGCCCGGCCACAAGGCCATCTTCGATCAATGTGCCTACTGTGCCACCATCCCCAATGATGACGGCTATGAGATGCCCATCCTCAAGACCACTCGCATCCAGACCACCAAGTGGGCTATGTTCGAGATCATGTCCAAGCGGTGCAATGGACAGCGCGTCCATCAACGCCTTGAAGGACGCAACCGGTGCAATCGAGCTGAGAACTACCAGGAGGAAATGGCCTCTCACCTGGCTCGAGCACTACTTCTTGATGAAGAACTACATGAACAGGTCTATGCTGTGACCGAAGCCATTGCTCCCCTCACTGGTGCTCTCGCACAGCGTCTGCATCGAAATCTTGGACATCCTCGCAAAGATGTGCTGCTCAACACTTTGAAGAGCAGAAACTGCAGCCCCCGCGGTTCAAGATCTTGAGTGTCCCTTTTGTGAGGCACATGCAGTCAAAAAGGGAACTGCACCTGGACACCTTGATCGACCTAATGAGTTCAACGCCCAACTTCAAGCTGATGTTCTCTGGCTTGATCTCGATGAAGTTGGAGCTGTTCGCGAGCCTGGCAAGCGGCAGAAAGCTCGGAAGATTGCCATCCTGCACCATCATGGATGAAAAAGGACCCTCACTGCAGAAGGCACTTGAACGCGCATGGATTCAACATCATGGACCACCACGACAGCTCTGTGTGGATGAGGGCACCGGCTGGGCATCAGATGCCACCATGCAATGGTGCGAGAACAATGACATCGAGATTCGCATCTCGCCAGGACAGGTGCACACGCGAACCTCCATCGTTGAACGACGACATCAGATTGTGCGCAAGGCTATCTCAATCTTCATGATGGAGAATGACCTCACCGGCCTCGATGGTGTGCGCACAGCACTATCCTGGGTTGTGCCTGCCTTGAATAGCAGCACCTTCGTCAACGGCTACACCCCTACTCAACTTGCTCTCGGCCGAGAACCCGCACTTCCTGGACGTCTTTCAGATGAGCGAACAAGCCCGCTTCAGCTTCAGCTGACTGAGCAAGAGAAGCTTCACAAGCGCCTCCAAATGAAGTTCGTCGCCCAGAGTGCATGCGGTAAAGCTGAGATTGATGTCAAATTGAGGAGGGCTCTGCTGCGACGCTTCACAGGCAAAGATGAGGAACTACTGCCTGGTGAGCGGTGCTACTACTGGCGGGACTTTCCGGACAAGGCTCACACCATCCGCTGGCGCGGACCGGCAGTTGTTGTTGTTGCAGTTGAGCGCAACCCCGACACTGGCACCACCTCCGTGTACTGGATTGCACATGGAACAGTCCTACTACGAGCTGGAGTTCAACATGTTCGCAAGATGGTCAGCGACAGTGGACAACTTGGTGCAGCTCAACGTGCTCAACAGGCCTTGGACGGCCTGAGGCAGAGAAGAGCGGTGAGAATCATCGACCTACGCAAAGCCAACAAGCGCTCCATCGATGAAGTCGATCCTGAACTGTCTGACTACACTCCTTCCATAGCTGGAGAACCACCTGCTCCGGTGACTATGTCTTCCCGACTACCTGATGGTGTACAACGAGCATTTGATCGCTCCACGCAAGAAGCCATCCAGTCACGGGCAGCTGAACGTCCATCGGTTCCACTGGTTCCAGATCCTCCCGAAGATCAACCGCCAGAACCACTGGAACCACAGCTGGAAGAGCGACGACCCTATGAACGACATCCTGAACTACCAGAACTAGATGATGATGAATTTGAAGAGCCAATGGGAGAACCGGCGCACATGGAAACACCACGTGTGGATGCCGAGCCTCGGACAAGTCTTCCAGATCCAGCTGATCTACCAGTTCCTGGCGACCACGATCTGGACTCTCCGAAGGCTGATCCTCCTTCAAGGCCCATGGCAGAGACCTCATCATCTTCAATGCCCGCACCAATGGCGGTTGATCCTCTTTATGCGCCACCACCAGCAGAGAGTTTCCAAGATCGTCGGCGACGATTTGATCAGGAAACCATATGGACTCGCAAGAAAGCCAGAACTGATGAGGGTGACGTCGACATCAACCTCCACGGCTTCGACCTGACCAAGTCGACACCACTCCCATCTGGCTGGACCTACGATGAGAAGAACAATGAGTTCATCCTGGGTGAAACACAAGATTGGTGGAGCTATGAGGACGGCTTCCTGGTGCGCAACCATGTTTGGGGAAGAAACACCACCTACAAGCCCGAAGAGTTTTTCATTGACACCTCCTTCCTACAAACAACCACCGGCCTGACATTGCAACAAGGATCAAGAACCATCTATGTCAACGCCAAGGAGCAGCAGCACTTCCACGAGCATTGGACCGGCAAGACCTTGTACCCACTCACTTCAGAGGGTGCAGAAAGGACCGGACTCCTCTACATCGGAGACCTCACGGACAAGCTCTCCCGCTGCAAGACTCTCCGTGGCCGTGGACATATCTGGCAGGCCGTTGGAGCTGGCAATCCCAAAAAGAAGCATGTCAAAGAAAGCGCTGATCTCAACGAGCGCAAGATGACCCTGGAGGACCGCCTCTCCTTCCTGGAAGGAAAGAAGGCAGAGCTCATGAGCATCTTCGAGAATGGTGTTTGGGAGACTGAGCTCGATCCACAAGCAGTGGACCACAACCGGGTCATGCGCGCCCGCTTCGTGCTGAAATGGGCAGCCGATGGAAAGGGCGGCCTCAAGGCCAAAGCGCGGCTGGTGCTTCAAGGATTCTCAGATCCCGACTTGCTTCAGGGACAACTTGACACCTCTTCACCGACTTTGTCAAGAAGTTCACGACAGGTGCTCATCGCGCTCTCAGAGGTGCTTTCCTGGGAACGCTGGACTGCCGACGTGGCAACCGCATTCCTCCAAGGAGATCACAGGAGCGAGTTTTGTGGGCGCGCATCCCAAAAGATGCATGTGAACTCATCGGGGTGCCACCTGGCGCACTCATGAGGTTGATCAAGCCCCTATACGGTCAAGCTGACGCTCCAAGACAGTGGTTTGCTGTCGCTCGACGTCGACGACTCCAACTTGGGTTCCAAGCGCACCCACTGGACCAAAGCAATGGTTGGAATCCACGTCGACGACCTCTTTGGTTGCGGCCTGGCTACATCATCCACCTACCACAAGCTGATCGAGCAGCTTAAGGCTTCTTTCAACTTCAAGCATTGGACGGTGGAGGGTGAGCGCCCATTAGAGTTCTGCGGATGTCAACTCACCCGTACAGCCACTGAGTCCGTGATGACGCAGGCCGACTACCTCAAGACCGTCAAGCCCATGACCTGCGTGGACAATGAGGCCGACAGAGAGTTGAGTTCCAAGGAACAGAGTTCCCTAACGCACTACTTGGTGCACTTCAATGGCCAGCAACCCAAACATCACCTCACCTATGCGCTTCAGTGTCGCTCTTGTGTGGAGAAGTCACTACTTCCACGGTCAATGTGGCCCAGCAGGCGAACAAGACCCTACGCTTTGCAAAGAGCAACAGTGACGCCAAGCTGTTCCGCTCCTTGCGTGACCTGGGTGGTTCGCTGGATGACCTATGTATGGTGGCTATGAGTGATGCTGCATGGGGGGTGAGACGCAACAATGAAAGTCAAGGCGGCTACCTGGTGCTGCTATGTCACAAGTCAGTGCTTGAGGACAACACCCTCGACCACGACTATGTCATCCTGGATTGGAGGAGCTTCAAACTTCCAAGGGTCAGTCGATCCTCCTTCAACGCTGAGAGCCAGGCATGCTCAGCTGCGATGGACGCCTTGGAGTACCTCCTCATCTTCTGGGAAGGATGGCTGAACTTTGACTTCCAGTTGCGCCAGGTCAATGAGCTGAAGCCTTCACTACCTTCGGCACTCGTGGTGGACGCAAAGGCCCTCCATGACAGCCTCAAGGCTGAAACCCCAAGTCTCCAAGGAGACAAAAGAACAAAGATCGAGGTCATGGTGACCAAGCAGAAAATGCTGTGCATGAGCACAAAGCTCCGATGGGTCAGCTCAGAGATCCAACTGGCTGACGGGGTTACCAAAACCTCGGCCCAGCAGCTGTTCGCAGACCGACTGCGAAGCCACAAGATCTCCCTCAAGTCCGACGTGACCTTCCAGGCTGCAAAGAAGAAGACCTTGGCCGAGAGACAGGCAAATGCTCGAAAGCATGCAATCAGCAGGACAGGTAACCACAACAGCCTGGCCTACATGATCCTGACCTCCCAGATGGCCATGGTTCAAGCCTACCAGCCTTTGTTCGAGATGGCCCTGGACTTTGTCTTCTCGCCTGAGATGACCCTCACCTTGTTCATCGTCCTGATGACCTATGTGGGTTGGAACCTGGGCAGGAGATGGACTACCACGACTTCAACGGCGACAAGGACTTCAACAGAGACATGGACCATGACAACATCGAGCTCGGCAAGTACAAGGACATGAGAATGAAATGGCAGCGCGCGGTGCAGACGCTGATGGATGTTACAAATCAACCCATTGGCCCATGTGGTCTGGCACACAAGGACTGGCAACAAGTACCATGTGAGTACTGCGCATTTTGCGCGCAGAAGGAACCGGAAAGATGGCGAGAGTTCACTGATGTGGACCGCCGACTTCCTCGGTGACAACCACCGGTGTGAATTGAGCGCCGCTCAATAGAGCATACATGAGAGGCATGAGCTTTTGACCATTGGTCGCTGACGCCTCACGGTTCAAGCCTGGCCTGAAGGGGCCTCTTGAGCCACGACATGTGGCACGCGCACGCGAAAGCAAGTGTTTCAATCCGTGACGACACTTCGAGCGGTTGGTCACGCAAGGTGTGTTCACTTTCGTGTTTCCACATCTTCACAGTAATCATTTAGGAAAAGATCTCATGATATCTCATGAATCCTTTCACTATAGCTTTCCTACTGCCAGGATGTTCGTTGAGATTTGTTTGTTCTTTTCGTGGCCAGGATCTTCGAAGGAGGAGAATCATGTGGCTACCAAGTGCAGGCCACACGCGGTTCGCCGGCTCGGCATGGCGACGAATGACCGGCAGGGCCAATGTAGGTGGGGAAACGAGCAGAGAGTCAGGTTCCGAAAGGCAATGGGTTTGGAGATGTTTGCGTTTCGGATGTCTCCTGAACTGCCTGAAGTATAAGACACTGCATGTATTTCAGGGGTCCATCAGGAAAGGCATTTTCCACTAGGTTTCGAAAGGCCGAGGTAGACACGACGAGTGGTCGTCTAAAGCCGGAGGGACCAACAGCTGGGCCCTCCAGGAGCTGCGCCTCTCGCCGGGCGAGCGCGGCTGCGGCGCTTCGCACCTGCACCTGTGGCGGCGGTGTGCCGCTTCGCATGTGCCGTCGCTGATCCTGGAGGCGCCGATGTCCAGATCACAGGTGTGTGCCCGCAAGGCAGGCACATGGTCGTAGATGTGTGTGATTGCTGACATGTGTCTTATATGCCAAACATGCAGCGCGCTGTTATAAAGGAACCTTATGTTGACGTATCAACGCAGACATTGACACGTCAACATGCTGACATTTGTCATGTGCTGAGGTGGCTGTGCTGCGCCCGTCATGTCAACACGCTGGCATGGTGTCCACTTTGGCCGTGCTGGCTCAATGCTGACGTGCCGTGTGTTGCTGCCATGCGTGCTCACATTCTAATAGGAGGCGTTGTCACACCGTTCTGTTGACATGGTGTCATGTTGGTGTGTTGCTTGCGGACGTGCAGATACGCTGTTATCATCATGGTGCGATGGCATGGTGCGATGGCTGTCAGGTTGACACGAGTCACACGAGTCACACGGGGTCGTGCTGACGTGCTGTCGTGCCGGAGCAGTTTCCATGGTCGGGCTTGCACACGTTGGGCACGTGTGCTACATTTGGCCGCGTGGTGATCTTTGCATGGCACATTTACAATGCGTACATGCCTTTAAAGCAGAGTTTCTGGCAGAAGGGCCGCACTTTTTGGTGAACTTGCGGTCTTGCCAGTAGTTGATAGACGGATTCATTCTTGGCTGTTGCGGATTTTCAATCGCTAGGGTTCGCTCCGAGCGTGCTTTTTTTCATGTGTGAGGATGATGCGCAGCTGAAGCGGACCTTTGCAGGGGCTTTGAGCCGCTCAGATCTTCAGCGGCCCTGTGGGTTTTCGGGTGACCATGCAAGAGGATTCTCATGACTAAAGACTACACAGCCCACCCCGTGTGTGAGCTGGGTATCGGTATAGCCGGTGATGTTGTTGAGCAGGGCGGGTGCTGCTCCACGTCCTGTGTAGTCACGTCTCGTTTTTTGAATAGACTTTATGTATATAGCATGTTCTAGCCATGCAGCCCCTACGGCGAACCGTTGAAACCACAGTTTTTGCCTATGCCCCCTCCCAGGCCTTGGTTTTCAGAGCCAATCCCGTTTTTTCGTCTCGCCGCTCGTCCGCGCAGCGCGTGTCGCAGCGGACGGCGGAACGTCCGCGTGGAGACGCTTTCCGCGCTACGACGCGCTGGCGATCGTGCCAGGCCAGGCGCTGGCAGAGCTGCGATCGTGCCGGCCACAGGTGCTCTACTTGGGCTACACGCAGGCGGCACCCTGGCGGAGTGCCTTGGGTGCACGGGCTTTCAAGGGGGTTGGGTTTTTTGATCGCTTGGTATTTACTATACAGGTGAAACGAAACTGGAGGAAGGTTCTGCAGCCAACGGCTGCATCTTCTCGATGAACATTGTTGAGCAATGGGGTGACTTTAGAGTCACTAGAGGGTCAGTGAGAATCATTGACGACTTGGGAGTTTTGTTTGCGTGGTGCACCTCGGGATGATTTCGGGGTGTTGAGACAAGGGTGGCAACTCGCATGGGTGGCAGGAAAGGCTGTAGGTTTGTTGTTCTATTTTCCGACATTAGAAGATACCAAGTAAGGTTAACAATAGGCATCTCATCTCAATTCCATTCGATTCCACCAGCGAATTACCTTGAATTATAGGCCGCCCATGTGAGTTGACCCTGCACTTTGGAGGCCTTAAACTCGACCACTCTTTCGGGGCGAGTTGAGTTGACCATTCGTGGGCAACATCTTCGACCAGTGGCTTTTCTGCTGACCATAGTCCTTAAATCCCTTGGTGAGGCTGGAGGCTGCGCACTTTAAATTAAGAACTGCCAACCGCAGTTCTTACAACTCACCCCTGTGTCCCAAGAAGTCACCGAAGAAGCGCCCAAGTTCAGACTGGCGGGGTGGACCAGGTCTTGTGTATTGCAATGAAGGATCGGCTTTTGGTCATTGGTTGCAACACTTTTGGAGGGGACCTGAGGCAAATGCCTTCACTAAAACCTCACTGGAGCGCATCAGATGTCCAACGCACCTCGCACGGTGTTCCCTGCGCTGTGCCCAGGACGCATCGGCCCCTCCGTCCGTGAAGCGGAGTATTTGTGGACGACGGTGGCCTACGTTTTGTGGCCTTCGGGGGCTCGTCGTCTTTTGGAGGAACTCCCAGGTGTGGGGGATGGGGCTGGATCAGCTGCGGCGGGTATTGTAGCCTGAGTTGTAGCTCAGGTTGCAGGTGACAGCCCCTAAGTAGATGCCTGTCCATCGTTGGCTGCCTCCATTAGGACCAAGTGTACAGTCAGTGCAAGCTAGGCCCCTGGCGCTTGAGGTGCGCGCGTGTTTAGTGGTTGAAAGAGAAGGAGTCCGTAGGAACAGCTGCCCCAAAGCAGCTTCACCCTCGCTTGCACTGCACCCCCATCCCCACACCATCCGTGCGCAGTGGATCAACCCGTGGACAACTTCATGTCGCAGCTCATGGCGCGGAAGAAGCTCCGCGGCTTTGCGACGGTGCCGCCTTTGGCCGCTGGTGCTGGAGGGTTTGGGTGCTCCTTTGGGGGGGGGCTTTTGGAGGGTTGGGTGGAGAAAAGAGCGGAAGTGGATCTGGAAGATGAGAGAGGGTTCATTTTGGATTTTTGGCTCCACTAGACCCAGTGATATGAAGTGTGAAGATGTACTTAGAACCTGTTTGACACTTCGCATGTAGTGCTACCTGCTCTAAAGTCTATGCGCTGTTTCTTCTTTTCTCCAAGAATCTAGATGGGTTCCAGGTTCACATGGAGGAGTTTGCCCATCAGTCGGATTTTTGCACAGTTGACCCGGGAAGGCGGAAGGCCAGCTGAGTCCGCCCGTCCGTCCGAGTTAACCCACCGATGCGGACCCATTGGAACCCAGGGCGGGTGACCGATCAGGACCTGCCGGGTCGAAGGATCACTGAGCTCTTCCGGGTCTGAGCTCTTCCGGGGACCTGACCGCAGCTCTTCGGATCGGCCCTTGTTGAGACTCAGTTCTTGGCATCCGCTCGTGTCCTTTTTTCTTTGCTTTTGGGTCCGGTTCGGTGCTCTTCGCTGGGGGGGGCACGCGCTTCGGATGGTGGGTCTGGTGCGCGGGTCGCGTGCGACGGACTGGTCTGGTCACTGGCCGTGGCTTCAGGTCAAGCAAAGTAAAGCGTGGAATGTGGACAACGACGTGGCACATTCCGACGACCAGGCACACAGATTCTTCGTCAAGGCATATTTGACGCTTAGCCTTGCGGAGGGTGGTTTTGTTACAGACAGAGTTGTCCGTCTCATGACAATGGAACCCCCTATTGGCCCTATTACAAATGAGCAGTTCACTGGGCCAACGGGCCCAGCTTGTCAAGGACAAAGTCTTTCCACTGTCCATGCTTGAGCAATGGCAATCCCATCCGTGAGCAAACCCATACCACGAAAGGTTGTACTGTGTACTGCACGCATGCATGCACACACACGCACACAAAATCACGCGCACACACACACACACATATATATATATATTGTTTGCTATCACCGGCTCCGGACCCTAGGATTCAGATGCTTGTATGCAGATGGTTTGGCAGACAACTAGGTGCCGACTGCCAAGTAATTACATAATTTTTTCAAGAATAAACAAAGACAATTTGACACAAATCAATTACATAATAAGCAGAGAAGGAAAGTAAATACAAAAAACACATAAAACAGGTGCTAACTATACAGTACTGGAATCTATCATGATTGAGTTTGCTAGGCGAGGGTAGAAACCAAAACTATCTGTTGGTGTTTGGTCCAACTCCTTTTTCTTGATTGATTCTGAATAATCTTCAAGAACAAACATGTTTGCACTTAATACACTTGAGCAAGCAGCAAGCCACTGAGACCTGTGAGAGTTTTGTTGGGAATATGGAGAATATATCAGTCGCACCAGCAGGGACAGAACTAAATAAAGAGGGGATAACTCTACACCAATCAGAATGCACACTAGAACTTGGGAATTAACGTCCTTTCAGGGGACTTTAAGCAACACACGGCATCAGGACGTTGACTGCTGAAAAAGCGCTTCTGCTTGGAAGCCGCAACTTTCTGCCTGGAGAGTCTTAGAAAGTTTATATAACTTATTCGTTGGTTCCACAAGTGAGGCATTTGAGATGGTCTTTATGAAGGATGAAGGACCATTTTGTCTTTTGTTGCGGGGAGAACAACCGCCTGTAAAGGATACATTGTGATTCAAAGAAGCAGGTTGAACAAAGGAGGCTATCGCCAATGGAAAACACTTGTATTGGAGTCTCATACCGGGTGAAGCTCTCGTGATAAGAAACCATAAAGGATGGCTGGCATGTTGGAAGAAAACTATGTGTGTTTTTTTGCTCGGAACACATTTTTTGATGATGAGATATGGAGAACTGGGGCTTTTGTAGCCCTTTGTTAAGCAAATATGAGGAATGAGCTTCTTAGAGGAATCGATGGAATCGATTGGCTAATAAAAACAGATCGTATGGCCAAGAGAAAGTCAAAAGACACATCTCAATGAAAAAGACTTGGAAAAGGAACACGGATAAGGGTACTCTAACCTCTTTTGACCAACAGCGCTCTTATAAAGGGTTCCTTTTCTTGAAGGGGGGTTTTGCATGAGAAAGGAAGGACACTTGTAACCAGTAGCGATGCTCGTAAACAGTTACAGTATCTCCCCAACCATTTGCATACAGACATTTGAAGCCTAGGTTTCACAGGCGGGATAGCTATATTTTTATCTATATCCCATTGTATATATCATAGAACGAGAGAGAGGGATTTACGTTGTGCGCACAGCTCCCAGCCTTTTTTGCCGCATCCCTGGCCTGCTCATTTGTTTCTGATCCCTTGAGTCATTCCACCCACCAGAGGTACAGGATCTGCAACATGGGCCATTTTGAACCCAGGACCACGTGAGAAATTACTTTCAGCCCTAAAAGCGGGAAGCTTGCAATTGTTCTAAATCACCGTTGGAATTCTTTTCGCCCAAGTCGCCATGCTTCTCTCCAGGCGTGGCTGCAGAATCAGACGCATCAGCGCGAAAACTCGCCTCCGCGACGATGGGAGTTGGTCGGCCTTGGATCAGCCGGGAGTCGGTTTCCATTCACTTGGTGTGTTTTTTCTACCATACCCTGTGGCACCCAAAGGGCAGGTCTTCTTGAACCAGCTGACTTTCTTTGATTTTGAGGAGGGCCTCTGTCATTTGTCCATCAACAGTGGGTACTTGTGTGCCCCTCAACAACCTGCAGACACCAATCATTGACTTGGGATAGGATGAACTTGTTGAAGGCGATAGATAGACAGACAGACAGACAGACAGATAGATAGATAGATAGAGAGTTTCCAGGCATTACTGTATGTATGCCGTGCGTGCGCCTGCCCCACCGAAAAAGCCTTCAGGGTTTGGGCGAGTTACCGCCGGAAATCCTTTCTGAGGAATTTCTGTGCCCTTGAATTTGGGAATGGAGGAAGCTACACTCTCCATGTCAACCGCTCTGGAATTTTGCTTGGTGCTTGGTCGATGTTCTGGTTGCTCACGCTCGGGATCCTGCAAGCGTTTGAAGCGTCGAAACCCTGAGCTTGGGGTTCCGCGTCAAGAGCAGAGATCACAGTAAGCTGATGCTCATACGTTCCCATGCTGACGATGCTATTGCTGTCAGGCACTCATAAGACTTTCATGTTACAGAGCGCCAAGTCAAACCAGTTCAGCCTGAATGCCAGTGGGGATCAGTGTTGTTGGAATGGTGGGGAGCGGTAGGAACGTGTACAGTGCAAGCAGCAAGCTCGCGAGCAAGCTTTACACATTTACATCGAGCAGCAGAAGAGACACATCTGTGCAAAAGCGTGTCCAGATATGTAAAGAGACAAGTTCATAGCCTGGCTGCTTCTTACTTGGCGAAGAGCAGGGTTTTTTGAGCCGTTGACCTCCGGACATCTCTTTTCAGCAGAAGCAGCCTCACCTGTCCATCAAAACATTCAAAACATTTGGTTCGCTTCCTGCGACCCTCGGGGAGACCCGGGCGAATGCATATGACCCGGCCGAAATGCATGACCTGCTGGGCCAGGCGCGCCATTGGGGCAGTCCAAAGGGGTTGACCGTGCCTAAGGCATATGGCCACCCAATGGAGAACCAAGCTGGCTGGTTCTCAGAAGGGAGCGACGGAGGGTTCAACAACTGGAAGTTTCCGCGCTGGAACCTCGATACTGTAGTTCTTTTTGTTCTTGAGGTCATGTATGGGGTGAAACACCTATGGTGGACTTGGGAATAGTGGTGTGCACCCTGAACATTCGCCTAGACGATGAAGTCGAGCCTTTCTGGTTTGATTCACGAGTTGTCCCATAAACATTACTTTGGGGCTTTGTTAGTTTGCGATTGTCCAGGTGTGGCCGGGCTGGCAGGCCTCCATCCTTGTATAGAGGTAGAATCGATTGAGCCAGAAACACACACACACACATTCACACACATTCACGCCATTCACCAGAGCCAGAAACACATAGATAGATAGATAGATAGATAGATATCAAAGAGGAGCAGGTTTCCTTGCGCAACCTTTTTCTGGGCTCACGCGGTTGTTCAAGACCAGGCCACCCTGCCAGTCTTCAGCCTGGACACGGAGCTCCATGTCACGGTGGGCCGGGAGCTGTGCGTTGGAAAGCTCGGGAGCTTCGCCACGTCGAGGTGTTCGTGTCGATTGTCAGGAAGTGGTGTGTCTTATTTGGTCACGAGGAAGGGACGAAGACCACGAGGGAACGAAGGGTCAAAGCTGAAAAGGTGGTCCCCTTCGCATTTCAGTCTTTAGAATGAGATTGGCAGCATCGGCATAGCACCAACGAGTAGCAAAGACAGAAGCAAGCCTGTGAATCTCAAAGCGACTCATGACAAGGAAAGTAGTCAGGGTTCTAGGGCATGGCAAGAGCGTCAAAGCTTCAAAGTACTCACATGGAAACGTGGCGTCACTACACTGATGCTCAAACTGTTGAGAAAGAATGCGAAATGGACGGGTTTGTTTGACCACATGAGCTCCTGAACACATCTTCCTGACTGTGACTAGAAAACAGTTCTTTGGTAACGCATTTTAACAACCAGACCGGATTTTAATGACATCTTAGCGACACCCCAAACCCCCCTTGCCCCCACCCCGAACCCCCCCTTGAGATAGACGTGTGTGCCCAACAAGGCACGGTTGCAACCATCTTGCCCACCAGCCCGAACCCCCCGTTGAGATGCGTGATGTTAAGACTGTTAAGAGATGGTGAACCCTCAAAAAAGAATAGGACAGTTCCGAATTCAACATTCTGCTGCGTTCTATGCAGAGACAACAACAACGCCGAGGACGCGTCTGTGCCGCGCAACAATTTACGGAAATTCAATGGTGCAAAACCACACGCAGACCAACAGAAGTTGACATGTCGAGCTACTGTCTTAACTAAACGCGCCGAGCTTTGCTAGAGCTGCCCCTTTCGATTGGCAAGGGGGAAGAGATGTCCCGTACGAGGAATAGATTTCGACTTCCACCCTTTGACATAATGAGGGTAGATGGGATAGATGAGTCAGGGTGACGCAGGACCTTGGAGACCCCTCGTATTCTGAAAGCTGTGTGCTGATCCCGATCGAACCTGAAACGCCCAAACCACCAA